GTCAGAATGGCCAAGATCAAAAAAATTGATGACAACTTATGCTGGAGAGGTTGTGTGAAAAAGGGAACACTTCTGCATTACTGGTGGGAGTGCAAACTGGTACAGCCGCTTTGGATATCAGTATGGCAATTTCTCAGAAAATTAGGAAACAAGCTACCTCAAGACCCAGCAATACCACTTTTGGGTATAAACCCAAAGGATGTTCAACCATACAACAAGGACGTGTGCTCAACTATGGTCATAGCAGCATTATTTGTCATAGCCAGAACCTGGAAAAAAACCTAAATGCCCCTCGATGGAAGAATGGATAAGGAAAATGTGGCACATTTACACAATGGAGTACTACACAGTGGAAAAAAATGACATCTTGAAATTTGCAGGCAAATGGATTTAGAAAACATCATATTGAGTAAGGTAACTAAGACCCAGAAAAATAAATATAATATGTACTTATCCACAAGTGGCTTTTAGACATAAAGCAAAGAAAAACTAGTCTACAGTTCACAATCCCAGAGAACCTAAAAAACAGAAAGGACCCTAAGAAAGGCATACATGGATCTAATCTACATGGGAGGTATAAAAAGACAAGCTCTCCTGAGTAAATTGGGAGCATGGGGACCATGGGAGAGGGTAGGAGAGGAAGGAAGACGAAGAGGAAGGGAGGGGAGCAGAGAAAAATATATAGCTCAAAAAAAAAATTTAAAAACAAACAAATAAATAAGCAAGCAGTTTTGAGATTCCAAAGACCTACAAGGTCCAACTTAAGCATGCACTAGCACTAACCCCACCTGAATCCTTTTTCACATCATCACTTCACTTCCTAAAATCTTCCCCAGGGTTCACTTGCTTTGCCTTCTGCTTGAAATAGTCTTGCCTAAATTTGACATGACTAATACCTATTTATCCTTTAATTCTAAGTTCAAACATCATCTCTACAGTGAGGCCAGCCCCCACCACTCTATCCAAAATAGGATAGCTACTTGGTATCATCATCTCTTCAGCATCGTGCTTGCTTCATAACACAACTACATAACTTTATGTGAATTTACTCAATTTATCAATCAGGTCCACCAGACTGTTAGTACCACAAAAATCATCTATTATCCCCCACTATAATCCCTGATGTCTATCACAGTTTCTCACATTTAAGTAATATTTTGATATCCCCAATAGTCCTATCCTCATACATATTTCTCCCTTGGTTAATATCACCACTGTCACTTACCACCATCACTATTCTTACCCCTTTAGGGCTCTCATTCATCCTGCAATTAAAACACTCTCTCCCTAAAGCCTTCTCTTGACACTCTGTCCCGCCCCAGGGTAGCCAGTCTCACCTTCACTCCAGCACCTGGTCATTACTGGCAGCCCTGCCACTATAGCAATTATATTGGATTATGACTAGGATTTGGGGGGAGAAGGCAGAGTGCTTTCATTTTGTAGTTGTGTCTACTACTTTAGAAAGCCTTAACACAAAAGAAAAATCTTTTCATTTTTGTACCCCTAGAACTTGCAAACTAGCAGGCACAGTACCACTATAATTGATAACAGCTAAGATTTATTAAGTGTTTAATGTGTGCTTGACACATCTTGGTTCTGAAGTAAGAGGGTAAATGAATTAATAGATTCCTCCAATACCAACCTCAAGGAGGTCAGTTCAATGGGGAAGCAGAATAACATATGGGCTAATGCAAACACCACAAGGCCAAAGGTGTTGGCCTACCCTGTACCTATGCCTTCAAATCTTAAAGTATGCTTTTCTCAGAGTCCATTAATGTCAGGTTTCTTCAAACTCACTTAAAATACTTCCTTCCATTACTTACAACCCACTTCCTGTACTTGGTGCCTGGAAGCAATTTCTAGGATGTCACCGCAAGCAATATAAAACTGCCTCACAGTTTCCTGCTGTGCATCTGCATTATCAGTTAAACTGCCCCATACTGACCACATTCCAGTCCACTGAAATCACTCAAACACTAAATAAGATTTAAACATATCTGCCCAAGAATGTCAGTTACCACTGCTCTTTTATGCCTCTAGAAAAATACCTGCTTGGCTGACAGTTTAGGTCTCCAGTGAACTACCTAAATACTGGTGACCTCTTTTTGTCACTTGCATCTGACCTTAAGCCTATGGACTTCCACTTTCTCGTGTGAAAACAATGGTTAATAAATAGCACCAGTGGACAGTTGTAAGGGTTTTATGAAATGATTCACATTAAACATTACCATGGTGCCCAACAGAACCTGCTCCAGAAGCCTCAGCTTGCCAAATCTCAACAACAGTAACATACATGCTTTATCATTGATCTTAACTCTAGTTTCACAATTACAGACAGTATGGTTTTTTTAATCAACTTTTATTTTTTATTATTGTGATACTGTTAAGTCCTGCTCTCCATATGAACATTAAAAGTTTGTTTTCTGTTACCTGAAACATGTCTTTCTCTGATATTTCTGGCATAAAATACATCTGATATTCTTAATCACTTGATAAGATGTAGAACAATCACTTAAGTTCCTAATATGGGCCTGGAAATCACACTGACCCAGTGTTTACTGTTCATAATAATCCTGCCGGTCCCTTCTCCCCTAGGAAAATCCAGATTCACAGATATACTGTTTCACAGTCAGCATGAAAAAGAGTTGGAACTTGCCAGGTGGTAGTAGGCAAGTGGATCTCAGTGAATTCAAGGCCAGCCTGGTCTACAAATCTAGTTCCAGGACAGCCAGGATGGTTACACAGAGAAATCCTGTCTCGAAAAAACAAAAAAGGTGGGGGGTGGGGCAGTGGGCTGGAATTTGAACCCAGATCTGATGTACACTGTCCTTGTAATGGCACAAGGTATCAGAGATAAAGAAAATACAGATTGCTTCGGGGAGTCTAGAGATTGCTCAGTCTGCCCCCACTCTCCTATCCACCTACTTACCTGTGGGGCCTGCACACTCAGCTTCCACCTCAGTCAGGTAAACACCTTGAACACCTTGATCTGCAGGACAGAATGGACAGTAGCAACCAAGGCCATTTTCTCCAATGACCTAAACTGACTGTTCTCTCACCACCTGCCCATCCATACTCCTAACTGTGGACAGAATGGCACAAATCACTGTAAATCATAACTACTTTTCATAACTTCTATATTCATACTCTTTCAATCTCACCACGGGTTAACATATTTCCCAGGCCTTTTTTCTTTTTCTTTTAACCATTGAGCAGTCAACTTTGAGGATCAATATGGCCATTCTTCATACTAATTTCACACGTAATGCAATTTCATGCCTTGATAAATTCCCTTACTCAAATGCTCCCATATTACAGTGATATATTCCACAAAACATACTTAGGAAACATATTTGTCAACGTGTTCCTGTCAAGAGCATGAGCACATGACAGCTAGTCAAGTGAACTTCTGCTTGTCTATTTTAGTGTTCACTAGAACACTTGATGCAGCTGGGCAAATCTCTAACTCTGAACAAGAAAGGTAAGCATCACTACACTCTCTCTGCAGCTCTGAGGTGACTCTGTGCAAAGTATTTCTATGTGCTATTGACATCCAAGTTTACAGCTCTTACTTGGGAACTAGAATTTGGCTTGGAGTGCCTTTTAATACCAACAGTTCACAGACCATATCATTTTACCTCCCCAGATTCTCAGATTCCTGTTTGGGTTATGTTCTAACCCCTTCCCCCCTTTTCTATAAAAAAAAAAACAAAAACAAAAAAAACAAAAAAAAAACTCATTTTATACAGCCACATTAATTTTCTAAGCAAACTTTTCTAATTTCATTCAGCAGTTGTCATAGGGCTTTTAAACACAGACTAGACACCTTTGGTAAATGAGAAACCTAACTGCTGAAGAGACTGAACGGTCAGGCAAGGGTCACACTTGCATGGGCATCACCAGGACATGAGATGCAATATTTGAATAATTATTAGATTTTTGTCCATGAGGCCCTTCCTCTTCCAAACTTCCCTTGTATAATTCTCAAAATGCTGAAATAAACACATTTAACCGACTTTCCTATAAGAGATTTATGGTGTCTTGTGAATGCTGTTTTCTCGAAAAGCCTATGCTGTCAACTTTCTCTGTAAATGTCCCTATGCAATAGAGAAAAGGTGAACATTTGCTAATGATTAGAGAGAGAGAAAACATCTGGGGCTGGAGAAGGGCGTGGCCAGAAGAGGTCTTGGCTGTGAGGGGAGATACAGTCCAAAGTAACACACCCAAATTGGACCACATAAAAGTTGCACTTTCCAAAGTCAACTTACAAGTCTAGGAGGAAGCCAACAATGTTTCAGTGGGTTCTGAAGTTACAAGTATCAACAATCTCACCAGAAAAGGAAGCCTCAAACAGGGACTCCAAGTAATTGAAGGAGTGAGGGAATTGCCAGATTGGATTACAAAACCTTTTCAAAATCAGGTACTCAGTTATAACCCAAAGACATCTTCCTTCATAGCCCTTGCTTGTGCGGAAACTCAAGAGGAAGAAATGGGAAAAGGCCTTCCTCTACAGGCCATCCAGCCCTTAAATCCACCAGCCCCCACCCCCACCCCCTTCTAAGAACCTCACACCACTTCAGTAATGGCTACAGGCCTCAAGCAGTCAAGTTTCAACCTCTCAGAACCTGCCAACTCTCAGGGTCGCCCCAAACACACCCAGGTGGGAACTTAATTCCGGAAACCTCTTTCCTCCCAGTGGCTGTACGACCGTTTTCTGGGGTCCATCCCACAGAGGGAGCCTCCTCGTCATGTCAGCGGTTCCCTCTCTCAGGTGAGGAGAGGACAACTCATCACCCACGACCCTCCACCGCGCACGCACCCCGTCCCTGAACCTCCCGCATCCCCATGGCAACCATCCCCCTCCCTGCTTGATGCGTCCACGCGGGGCGCCCCTCCGGTCCCGGCAACAAGTCCCCCAGCGCGGCCCGCGGCCTGCAGCTCGAGCCCGGCCTCGCCTCCCCAGCGCCCGGCCCGGCCCGGCTCTGCCCGGCGGCACTCACTTAATCCTGGAGCCCATGGTCCCGGGGCCTCCTCATGGACCGGCGGGCCCCGCTCGGCGCTTCGCTGGCCGACCGGCCTCCCTCCGGCGCTCTCTCCGCCCCTTCCTCCCTTTCCTCAAGCAGGAGCCCGCCCGCTCGAGGGTGGCTCCGTCGCTGCCGCTGCTGCCGCCGCCTCCCGGGGTTAAAGTACTCGCTCCTGCCCAGAGAACGCCATGGTCGCCTGCGCGCGTACTCGGAGCGCGCCACCCGCACCGCTCTCACACCGCCGCCCCCTCCCGCCCGCGCAGCCGGCCGCGAGGGCTACTGGGAAGTGTAGTCCGTTCGCGTGGGTCTTCATTAGAAAGAGAAATAGAGATTTCTGCCCCACTGCTCTCTGGCAGAATCCACACAAAACGCCCTGAAGAAACTTCCATGGTGACCCCTGAGGCTACTGAAGAAGCCTTTATCCACGCCAATGTGGAGTCCTCTTGCCAGGCCAAAACTTGGGGTGTCTGAATTTGAGGGAGGCATTTGTCCTTCCCTCACATATGCTTTAACTCAGGAATCCACAGCGACTCCACTTTCACTAAGTAAGATTTCGGGGTTATTGTCTCCTGACTTCAAAGAAAGAAGTCTACGTATCATGGAGGTTTCCCTGTAAAGAGTTTTTAAACATCCATACAGTACGAGCTTGAAAGAAAACAGAGCCTGCCCGTCCCAGGAAACAGGGTACCATCTAGCTGCCTGCCAGATGCTGTGGATGAGTTAGAAGTTTCCAAGTTTCCTGTAACTTCTAGACAAAGATAAGATATATCAAGCAGCCAGAACTCTCCTGGTATTCCTGGCCTCCAGCAAGGACATTCTAGGAAGTTCCTCTCTCCTTAACCTGGCCTGTTTCTATCTTCTGTTCTGTTTATCCCCCCACCTAGCAGCTTTGGCATAGACACAGTGTTTCCCCTCAGACCTATATCTTCCTGTGAATTCCATATAGATCTTATCTGTCACACCATCTACTTCATGCCCTGGTTTTCTCTTAACCTTTCCTATTCAGACCTATAACTCATACCTACAGGAAATTCACCTGGAAAGGTTATAGGACCTGTGATGATTAATATTCTCAACTTGACAGAATCTAGAATCATACTTTGAGAATTCCTTCCCTGGGGCCATGAAACCAATGTCTACCACTTCTTAGAAGGTCCCAATAACAAACCAGTGTAAAAAAGTCCACCAAAGTTCAACCTGGGGAACCAATGAGTTCTTTGGACTGACTTATAAAACATGAGTGAGGGTCGCTTACTGGAGTAAGCTGCACTAGGAAGTGCCCACCCTGGTGTGAGAGATAGCTTTTCCATATATATATAAAATTTTCTTCAGATAACTCCTATAGTCTACTACAGTCTGTGCACTCCAACGCTGCCCCCAGAGGCCCAGTGCATACAAATGGCTGAGAGGGGCAGGTGAGTTCTCTGGTGTGAGGCTGTTGGCCCTCCCAGCCCTCCAACTCTGAGGAACTGCTAACAGTCATCAGGCCTGCTCTTGATCATTTATTTGCAAGGAGACACAGCTGATGTGAAGATGGAAGCTGTTTTGCTGGGAAGACCAGGTTCTACAACCAATCAGTGGAGTGAGAAAGCTCTGGGAATATGAGGGTGTTCCCAGATTTGTTTAATTCAGGAGGATGGTCCTATTCCATGGAGTGAATTCAAAGGAAAAGGGAAGCTACAGGCAGCTTTTGTCTCTCTCCGCTCCCTGACTGTGGATTTCTTGTGAGCAGCCGCCTCATGCTCCTGCTGCAATGCCTTCCCCATCATGTTACACTGCACCCTCAAACTGCCAGTCAAATCAAACCTTTCCTAAATTGGTGGTGGTTTTGGTTTCTTTGTTTGTTTTGTTTTGAGACAGTGTATCACTATCCAGTCCTAGTTGGCCAGGAACTCACAGCAATCCACCTGCCTCTGCTTCCTGAGTGCTGGCACTAAAGGCATGCACCACATCTGGCGCCACCACCACATCTGGCCTTAAATTGCTTTTGTCACAAGAAAAGTAATACAGGATCTGTGGGGTGGCTCAGCAAAGGCCCCTGCTTCCTTTATTGGTCATTATGAAGACCCCAGTACTGAAACTTCCTCTGATCACAACAGTCCCTGCCAAAAATTAATAAAAGGGAAAATATTTGAGAGCCAGCATCATCAAGCTACTACCTGTCTCTGCCAGGCCCCCCAAAAGACTCGCTTTCATGAACCCCAGTTCCATATCCTCTAGGCCTGGATGGACCACAAAGGAGAAAATAGTGACAGATTCATTTAGTGTTGGCATGAGTTCGTGCCCTTTATGAATTAGGCACAGTATTCCCCAGGCTGGTTCATGCCAATACTCATGATACTCCTGGGAATGTGCCCTCCCAATTTGCAAAGAGGAAACTGAGGCATATTCCCCAGGTGATACAGCTAACCACTAGTGAAGCCAAGATCAACATCAGTGTTGAATAATTCCAGACACATGACGGACCTACTCATTCTTGAGGATGACACTATCGAACACAAGTCAGAAGATGCCAAAAGGATCCCTTTTGGTACTGGGCTTTTCCTTTTTCTTCCTTGCCTCCTTCAATTTCCTCTTTTGAAATGCCATTCATCCCTTCTACCATTTTAACCCTTATTCATCCATAAAAGTGTCTCCCATTTTACACGTATCTCATCACTACAGTAACATCATAGCCCTCAGCCAAGCAGGGAGGAAAGAAAACACAATGCAGAAAAACTCCTTCTTTGGAACTTACCTCCTGTTAAAAATAAGATCTCCCTTTTGTCTATGCCTTCAGGTTGTTGGAAGTCAAAGGGTGAACTTTTTCAAATAAAAATATAAATGAAATGTCCAAACTGCCATTTCAAATTCAAAGTCTTTGCACCCAGACAACAACACCGCCTTATAGACACCCCCAGGAGCAGTGTTCTGCTAGACAGGCGGGGCCTCCACATGTTTACTCACTGTGTTTGCTATGAAACCTCTCCAAGGAACAGCTGTTATCAAGATCTTCTCTAGAAGGAGCAGTCAGTTCAAAAGCTCTGTGCAGGAGACTATAAATAAAACAAAGTTATTTGGTGGAGGGCAAAAGTTGGCTGCTTTTCAAAGAAGACTGTAGCCAACCTGGCCACAAAAATGTCTGAGTGCCTACTGGGTGGTTGTGTGTGTGTGTGTGTGTATATATATATGTGTATGTTGTGTGTTGGAAGGGGCGGCAAAAGGTGGGGCTTTTGTATCTGCCCAGGTGGCCTCTAGACAACAGGGTGGTCTGGGGAAAGTGCACAGAGTTGGAGTTGGGAGACTAGCCTGTAATGCTGTTTGCAGTTCTGTGAATTTAAGCAAAAAATTGGGCAATCATCTGTTTCCACTTCCTTCTCTGTAAAACCGGTAGAGAGGATGAGGAGGTGCTCAATTCATAAGACAGCTCGTGATATAGGAGCCAACAGTACAAGAACTTGAATCAGGCTACCTGGATTTGAATCTCACTTCTACCTCATACAATATATGTGAACTTGGACTAGTTTTATCGAATCTCTCAATATCTTCGTTCTTTGTAAAATGAGAGTGATAATAATATCCTATAGTAAGAATTAAAATAGTGACAATAAAGTATGAAGTGACTGGCATGTAGTAATCACTCAAAAATTATTGGCAGCTAGTATGTACAAAACTCTAAGCGCAGTTTAATGTTTATTTTCATTTGTTAGTTTGCTTGATCACATTGCTAGGAAATAAACTCAGAGTCTTATACTTACAAGCATTCTATTCCCAAGCTATACCCCTCGCCCTGACATTTGTTATTAATAGTAATAAGCATAATAAGGATTGGGAGAATAGTTCAGTTAGTAAACTGCTTACTTGGCAAGCATGAGAACTTTAGTGTGATTCGCAGGATCCATGTTTAAACCACAACAAAAAAGTACATGTCAGGCGTAAAATGTGCTGGGGAGGAAAGCTTGGCCATTCCCTAGAGCTGGATACCTTCTAAGCCATTAGAGACCATGTCTCAAAAAATGTGGGTGGTGCCTGCGGAATGACATTTGAGGTCACCCTCTAACCTACCACACACATGCACACACGCATGCATGCACGCCTTTGGACATACATGCTCACACACAGAGAAATAATAGTTCCATTCTTGTGTTCAGGATCCCAGAATTCATAACCCTCCTTTACAGTTTATATTCTGTTAATTTCAATTCAATTCAACTGTAAAGAATAGAAATCAGAAATAACAGTAACTGAAACAAAAAGTAGAAATTGATTTCTTTTTCATGTAAGGTGTAGAGATGAATATTACAGAGCTAAGATTCCTTATCATCAGTGCTCTAGAATTCCATCTTGCTGCTCTTAGTCTACAAACATATCTTTTATCTTATCATCCAGGCTGGCTACTTGAACTTGAGCTATCACCCTGCAACACGAAGAAAGAACAACATACCCACCCCAAACTCTGACCTGCAGACATACTTCCCAGAGCTGCTCACACCACTTCCATGTTTGTCCCTCAGCCCAGAACTTAGTCACAAAGCCTCATCTTACTGGGAAATGTGGTCTTTATTCCAGACAGTCATGTGCACAGCTGAAAACAGGAGCAGCATTTTCAAAACACAAAGGGAGGCAGATACTGCAAGATTGCCAGTGTTGGTGGTGCTTGTTTTTGTGGCCTTGGACAAGACGCAGACTTTCTCCAGGTCTCTTTCCCCACACTCAAAAGATCAAGCCAGGGTCTCTTCCCAAAGTGATTTTTATTTCTAAAATTCTACAATTCAGTGTCTCACCATTTTCTATAATTCTTTTATCTGGTGTCATTCAAATAAAATGAGATCTCCCTGCCAAATCCATGACATAATGATTGTTAGAACTGAAATCTTCCAGCAAGAAGAGGACTGGAAACTTTGCCACCCAGACTGTTGTTAAAATAGGCTCACTAGGTGAATAGAACAGATAAAAAGTCACAATAGGGTGTGATTCCTCCTGTACTGATGTTCCCATACACCAGAGTGTCCATGCTTTGCCTCAAAGAACTTTGCCTATTCATTTTTCTGCTGAGGACTTAGATAGCTGTGTTAGCAGAGGGCCTCCACATAGCTACCATGCACCCTAATTATACAGTATTAAATGGCAGAATAAATGTTCTATGAGTCAGGAGTCTGTGATCTCTTGTTTCAGATACATTATTTTTTTCTTAAATCTGATGTGGTTGATGCATCGTAAAATATATGATTTTAAGCTGGG